GGACGTGCCTTCGGTGGATGTGGTTGTGGAATCTACTAAGAAATATCTCTTTAACAACGTCATCAGAAAATAAATGATTTTTAATCTGAAATAATTTTTATCATTTTTTTATAATCAAAATGAAGTGATAACTTTTCTGTGTACAAAAAAACTAAGCGTCTATAAAATCTAATGAGAATAGAACTGGTCTTAAAAATAAGAGTTAGTTATTATAACAATGTACTATAACTGTCGCCTAACTTTCCGTGGAAATAAAGATAAATAAAGAATAAACAATAAGATCGAGTTAATCTTGACAGGCGTAAAGAGGCAAGTATTTCAATACAATTGGACTTTATTATCTCGGCTTAGTATAAAACATAGTTACACTTTCAATAAAAAACTATCGTTATAAAATTCAAATAATTACTAAAAAAAAAGAAAGTAACTATTTACAATATTTTTAACAATACAGTATGTATACCCTTTTGTAGTATATATTTATACTGGTGAGGAGAGTTTCCATAATTTTTGATCTCTATAATTTCATTAAAACATATCATACCACGCATAATGGAATAAAACAATTTACTATTTAGAGGGTACGCCACTTAATACAAAGTGATTACAACAATTTTAAGATATATGAAACAAAGTACTCTAATAAAATTAGTATATGAAAAAGTCATTCCTGTTAGGTAAGAGACCTAAGTGACCGGAGCGGCAGTCGGCATCGGCAGTATCGGTATCGATCCCTGCAAGATTTACCAGCCATTTACGAATAGATATCTTCGTGTTCTGAGTAAATCTCTGCTAATTTGAAAACAAAAGTAAGTAGCCTATGTGTTCTTCCAGACTATCCTCTAAGTCAATACCAAATTTCCTCGAGATCCGTTCTGCCGCTTAGGCTACAAACTCTAACAAACATCCACCCATCCGTCTAAACTTTCGCATTTATAATATTAGTTAAATTTCCATTTCTTATTTTCAAATAACAAACGTCCAAAAACCCTACCGCAGCGTGGTTTCAGCGGTTGAGAACATATTTATAAGAGCACGATTCAGTTTGTTACTTTGGAATCTTTAATAATGTAACTAGCGATATCTTTTCCATCATTTTTATGTCTTTTTTAAGTGTAATGATTTTTAACATTTAAAATAACCGTTTAATCATACATCCAACCAATCAACCATCAATTTTTTTACTCAGAGTGGATTGACTATTAGTTATCAAATATGGCTGTAGTTAATCCTTGACTTATAAATATCAATTTGTAGATACCATTAGTAAGTTAAATGAAATTATAGCTTTGTCGTAATGATTCGTCGCTTTTATTAAAGACAGATTCAAATAGTCATAGTTTGTTTTTAGTACAGGTAACCGCCGTTGTAAGCTCCGTTGCAACCGCAGCCTCCAGCGCAGCTGCCGGCGATGGAGACAACACCACCAGCTGGCACATCACCTCCGAATCTGACAGCGCCCAAAATCGGGACCTGTCCAGCAACGACGGTGGTACCGGCAACGCCCATCTCACCAGCGACGGCAATGTCACCGACACCGGTGCCTCCGTAAGCTGGGCCAGCGATGGCAGCAGGGCCAGCGAGTCCGTAACCCAGGCCAAGCCCAAGTCCGTTTTCGTAGCCAAGTCCGAGTCCGGGTCCGTAGCCGAATTCAGTGGCGTAGCCAGGTCCGTAGCCGCGGCCACATTCACCAGCCCAACCGTCAGCGAAGCCCAGACCGAGTCCGGCTCCAAGACATGCGCTGTACGCATTCTGAAATGTTTTAAAATCGTTGATTAGCAAACAGTTGGTTTTCGTAAAGTACAAATATATATTTTTTTATAAAAACAATATTTACCTGGATCAAGCAAGCTTGGATGCAGAGCAACAAGAAAGCGAAAGGAGACATGTTGAAGGTTTGTTTTCCGACTGTGAAATCAAGAATGATTCTGTAGTAATAAACATGCTATTTATATATTTACCTTTATCCGGCGGACAACATAATTTTGTAATCGCTAGATTGTATTGTAAAAGTATGGCATATTGAAAAAACCTTTTTGAACTCTTTTTGTTATCAGCCGAATGTAACACGTCCCTGACCGATTCGTGTAATTTCGAAAGAAAACAATAAGTTTTGATAAACATA